CTAAGCCTCCAGCTGCAGTGCCAGCATCCCATATGGATGCCGGTTCAAGCCCCAGCTGCTCCTCTTTGATACAGCTCTCTGTTTATGGCCTGGGAAAGCAGTGGAGGATAGCCCAAGTGCTTGGGCCCCTGAACCCACATGTGAAACCCGGAAGAAGCTCCTGACCCTTGGCTTCAGATTGGCTCAGCTCTGGCCATTGGAGCCATTTAGGGAGTGAACCAGAGGATGGAAGACCTTTCTCTCTTCGCTCCCTCTCTCTAACTCTGCTTCTCAAGTAAATAAGTAAAATCTTTAAAAAAAAAAAAAAAAAGAAATTCATTACACACACACAACATGGTAACAAAATGAGTCAAGATAGAACTCAATACTCAGTCATTTTTCCTCAAGTATTTGAGAAAAACAAATATATATTTTAAGATGAAACATGAGAGAAACTGGCATCCTCATACAATAGAAGAAATTGTGTTGTTTGAATCTCCTTCAAATCATCCAAATGTGATTTTTGTAGGGGGGAGGGGTCTGCTTGATATATCAGTATGTGTTAATATTTTCCAAATGATTGCACTTTGTTTATTGTTCTTTCTATATATACATATCATTTAGCCCTTGCTATATTTTGAAGTTATATTTAAAATGTTATATTAAAATTGTGACATCTTTCTGATGAATCAAAAGTTTTATCCTTTTAAGAGACTCATCTTGAATTTTGTCATAAAGTACATTTTTTCAGATATTAAGAGCTGGGATACTTTGATTCATGTTTGCATTATTTATATTTTCATCTTTCATTTGCAACAATTCCACATCTTTATCTACTAGATGTGACATTTATAAATAATACATAACATTAAAAATTTTAAGGACCCATAGTGATAATATTTTATTAGAATATTTACAGACTTCATATTAACTGTCAATATGTTGTAGTTTTCAAGATTGTATTTATTTGAGAGGTAAAGTTACAAAGAAAGGGTGAGACAGAGAGAAGGTCTTCCATCCACTGGTTCACTCCCCAAATGGCCACAATGGCCAGAGCTGAGTCGATCCAAAGTCAGCATTCAGGAGCTTCTTCTGGGTCTCCCACATGGGTGCAGGGACCCAAACACTTGGGCCATCTTCCACTGCTTTCTCAGGCCATAAGCAGAGAGCTAGACTGGAGGAGGAGCAGCCAGGACTAGAACCGGTGTCCATATGGGATGCCAGGGCCACAGACAGAAGATTAACCTATTGCACCACAGTGCCGGCCCCAATATGTTGTAGTTTTCATAAGCCACATAATTTTGTACTTTCTGATTGCCCTGAATGCTCTTGGTCATTCCCCCTCTTTACAGATTATTTTGGATTACTTATTTTTTTCCATGTGCTTTTTATTCTTTAATCTGTTCTTTCCATCAATTCACCATCTACTCAAATTTAATGCACAAGTACTCAAATATTAATGTATGTATGAAGTTAACCATCATCTTTATTATCTTCCAAAAAATATAAGGTCAACCAACGCCCACTGAGCTCCCAGTCAGACAACACACTTTTGCAGTGAAGCTGTTTTCCATCTATCAAAGGCAAGGCAAGGACCCCTGTGGTCAGTGTGATATGTATGTCTCAGAGCATGCATTGAGTTAAAAATGGAATTTCACATATTCGCTTTCAACTCTTTCAATGATAAAAATAAATTATGCTACCAAACACAGTAACACAAAAGAGAAAAACCACATATGTAAAATACAAGGTTCCTAGATAGAATACACCAAATTTACAAAGCTTTGTAGAATGAAAACAAATTTAGGCATGTATCATATCACTGTTGAAAATTTCCTCTTTGGGGAAGCTGAATTCTCTTGATATGGTAGAAGCTTTAATGTTGAGGTTTTTTTGTTTGTTTGTTTGTTTGGACAGGCAGAGTGGACAGTGACAGAGAGAGACAGAGAGAAAGGTCTTCCTTTGCCGTTGGTTCACCCTCCAATGGCTGCCACGGCTGGCACGCTACCTCCGGCGAATTGCGCTGATCTGAAGGCAAGAGCCAGGTGCTTATCCTGGTCTCCCATGGGGTGCAGGGCCCAAGCACTTGGGCCATCCTCCACTGCACTCCCAGGACACAGCAGAGAGTTGGCCTGGAAGGGGGGCAACCGGGACAGAATCCGGTGCCCCGACCGGGACTAGAACCCGGTATGCTGGCGCTGCAAGGCGGAGGATTAGCCTAGTGAGCCACGGCGCCGGCCTATGTTGAGTGAGTCTCAGTGAAAGGTTCGAGGGAGTTTTTTGTAAAGTCCCCATGAGCCCCTCGACTTGCAGCTCCCTCCCATCACCTGGGACATGAACCTGTACTAGCTTATGGTGAATATCATTTTTCAGTTCAAAGACATCCTGTGTCCCATCTTCTGTCCGAGTAGATGGTCTTGCATAGTTTCTATGTTTGGTATTGCTGCTGTAACAAATCACCACAAAAGTAGTAAAAACAAATTTATTTTCTAATACTTCTGGAGGCTAGAACTTCCAAAATAAGTCTTACACAGCTAATATCAAGATTTCATTCTCTCTGTTTCTCTCTCATGCTAACTCTATCTGTCAAATTAAAAAAAAAAAATTCAATAAGGCTGGTTCCTTCTGCAAGTTCCAGGAGAAAGTCTGCTCCCTGCCTGATTTGCTTATTTGATCCAACATTCCTAGGCTTGTGGCCACATCACTCTAATCTCTTTCCACGCCCAGTTGTCTTTTCCTCTTCAGATTGGACTCCTGCAAGGACTCTTGTAATGGTACAAGGGTGCACTTAGATAATTCATGTGAAGCTTCACATCTCAAGACTCTTAGCTTAATCTCTTTTGAAATGTTCTTTGGCCATAGAAGATAGCATTCATAGGTTCCTGGAAATGGGACCTGGATACCTTTGGGGCCATTGGCCTCTCACAGAATTCAAGGTGTACCCCAAGTTGCTCTCCACCCCCAAGGGGATCCTTTCAATACACCAGAAACACTCAGACATTATTTAACCCAGCACTGGCACAGGTGGAGTTTCACTGGCATCACAAACCACTTCTGTGGGTGTGATCTGTGATGTTTTCTTTAGCATTACCACCCCACACCCATTTTTCATGCTTCCTGGCTGTATTCTGTCCCCCCTGAAGCTGAACTCTAACAACTGTATCACTGACACTTTCATGCATTCTGGCTTCTGGCTGGATTCAGCCATGGGCAGGAGACTAAAAAACAGAAGGAGAAAGAAACTTATTTCTTTAGCTTTCCTCTTTGCTTGTCTACATCCTGGCCATGTCTAGAATATTTCCCATGTGCTATTAGCATCATTTGCTGCTCTCAATGGACCACAGCATGATCATCATCCTGTCATCCCATGGGATACTGCCTAGAATATGAGGGTGGGTAGCCCAAAATTTTTTTTCTGCAAAGTTATTAACAAGAAAATAAAAAATGGATTCTAATAATATGCTATATTATATATTTCTGCTGAAGAAAATATTTCCCAGGTCTGGTGTCGTGGTTGCTCTTGGCTTCAGATCAGCCCAGCTCTGGCTGTTGGGGCTAATTGGGGGTGACCCAGCAGATGGAAGTCCTTTCTCTCTGTCTCCCTAACTCTATAACTCTTCCTGTCAAATAAATAGATAAAATATTTAAAAAAGAAGAAGAAGAAGGAAAAAAAAACAAATACTTATTACAAAGTAGTTTCCCTTTAGATTCTGTTGCCAGTCATGCTCCCGAATCTTGTGGTATTTGAGGAACTTAGCGTAGTCTCTGTAGTCACAACCATCATTCTGCTTCTATAAATGCCTTGTATTGACAAAGGTAAATATGCTACTATTGTACGCAACCTCTTTTTTAAAAAGCACCATGACAACACATACCAGAGTTAAACTCTAGGAAATTGTCACTAATTTTCTTTTTTGGATTAGAGTGACCATGTGGGATGGGATGTTCTGTATACAGTAAATCAGCTACAGTGGAAGCAAAGGAAACAGTACTAGGCACTAAGCCTAAACAGAACATCTACTTATTCTGTCATATTACATTGCTTCTACTGGAATAAAATTGATATACCAGGTTTTTTTTAACTCTTTAAAAGATTTATTTTAAATTTATTTTAAAGTTTTTAAAGATGTATTTATTTATTTAAAAGGCAAAGAGAGAGAGGCAAAGGGAGATCTTGCATCCACTGGTTCACTCTTCAAACAGCCACATTGGCCAAGGCTGGGCCAGGATGGAGCCAGGAGCTGGGAACTCCATCTGGGTTCCCCCATGTGACTAACAGGAACTCTAGTTGAGTTATCACTCACTGCTTCCCAGGTTCATTACCAGGGAGCTGGAAAAGGAGCAGAGTAGCCAGTAGCCAGAACTCAAACTGGTACTCTGATACGGGGTGCCAGCAGTTTAACTCTCTGTGCCACAATGCAGGCACTAAAATCTTTGAGAATAGTTTTATACCAAGTCTTATGGTATAAGAAGGATGCTTAATATGTCAATATTCACATGTGTAGAAGTCTTAGAAGTTTAGAGGCCTAAGAAAAGAAGAAGCCACAATTGTCATCCCTATTGTTTTAGTAGCTCTAAATAGGTTGAATTAAAATAACTGCTAATTGTTCATGTTTGATCTTTTAAAGATACTTGTAAGAGAACATTTTAAAGAAATGAAAATTTTACAATCAATATTTTAAGACAAAGTCCTTTTGCACCACAACCTGACTTGCACTTGTTACCCTAACCAGTTGTCTCAGGGCAACAAGACTGTAAAATATGCTGGACTTTTGTATTACAGTCAAGCTGAAAATTAAATTTCAAAATTTATGGAACAATTCTATTTCTTGCGTGGTCATACTAATTTTTTTCCAGTATCATATCTCTTTGCTTTCACTTAATAATATAGCTTGAAAATTTTATAGACAAAGAAGATATAGATGCAAACACACACAATGAATAATTCAAAAAATTTAAAATAAAATTAAAAGATAAGTTCATCTTAGTACAAAAAAAATTTTGAAACCCATGCAAAATTTTTTCATTACATGTCTTCCATCTAGTTTTTGAAGGACCTGCTTAATGTGACTTTACTTATACCTTCTTAATGTCCAGTAATCAGACCTTATCTCTAATTCAAAAGTCATTTATTATAATGTCTCCTAAAATGCATACTCATAAATGTATTTTAAATATATCACAGTGTTCTTTCATGAAAAGTCATGTAAATCAAACTGTATCCAGTCAACAAGATTATAGTACATCTGGAAAAACGGCATCTGAATTGTTTTTACAACATTTTCTTTTTATTAAACCAAAAGTGTAAATTTACGTATTTTCTCCAGAGAACAATGAAGTGACCATTGGTGGAACTGTCAAGACATAGGCTAACACAAGACTAATTTTCATCTCTCCTATGAATTCATAGAATGAATAAGCTGACTCTTACAAATATAAGTCTGTTTATTCTCACATGTTTCACTCGCATAAACTCCTCTTGATTTATAAGAAAGACAGGCTTGTTGATTGTGAGGCGGAGCAAGAGGAAACCTAAAATAGAAGAAATGTCACAGTTGTCATGAAATTTTACAACATTCAAATCCTAAAAGGAAGAAGTATAAGACTTTCATTTTACATATAAATTTTAGAAACATAATTTATATGGAATTTGGTATAATTTAATTTCTATTATTAGTGGCACAGATATATAAAAATGTTAGTAAAATGATTAGTGATAGGTTACTGAACATTAATTGACATCTCAATTAAGGATAGGAGACTAAGAAGAAAGCACGCTGCTTAGCATTTGGTAGTAAGGTAGAGAGACAAAGTAAAAATAAAATCAAAAGCCAGTGAATAACAAGCCTAATTAAATTTTTCTATTGGGGTAAAAATATTTTTGGGCATCATAGGCTTTAGGCTCATGGTGAGTAGAATATCAAAAATCAGGAAGGCTTTAAGGCTACATTAAAGAATTGGAAGTTAGCTTTTATAGAACTGATAAATTACAATTTATAGAAATAATAAAATAAGTAGACTTTAAGCCATTGTTTATATTGTGCCCTGCATGTATGCTTCCAAATACTGTATGTTGTTGGGTCCTGTTACCCAGTATCTCAGAATCACTCTATTTAGAGATAGAGTCTTAAAGAAGTAGATTAAAGTGAGATCATTAGAGCGGACCTTAATCTGATATGGCTGGAATATGAAAAGTGAAACAACAGAGATAAATTAAAAAAGAAATTTATCCAAAAGGGAACACAGATCAAATTTTGGAATATTTTCAGATTATCATTTTTGGGAAAAAAAAAAAAGAGAGAGAGAGAGAGAGAGAGAAAGCGTGTCTGAAGGCCATACCAAGTGTGTGTCTAGAAAATCATTTGCTAAAGTGATGAGTGTGACTCATGGGTCCAAACAACCATCTCAAGAAAAATGTAGAATCAGAGATTCTATTCAGGAAAACCCATGGAAGAACTTGCCTGGTGGCTTTGACACCACATGAATTTCCTGGGAAGCCAACAAGGTTTTTGATAATTTTATGCCAAAAGAAATACCCCCAGAAGCAAAGATAAGAATACAATGAAGCAAGTCCTTAAGCCATCTGGCGTTCTACAATAAAGACCAGTAGAGATGCCCAGCTGAAAACATGTGTTATCCTTAAAGAAAAGGGAAGAATGACCTGGAAATCGGTTTCCAGGTTGACAGAGCTGCCATTGCCATTGCCAAATACCCCAGTGCACAGGCCCAAGGAGTGAGGCTGTCCCTGACTGATTCCAGAGACCTAGGCTACCTCCTCAGTTTTAGGTAAAACCAACTCATTTTCAGCATGCCAGGCTGCTGCCACCCAGGACCATGGGTGCAAGGCCACCATCCTGGTAGGGCCAGAGGACAGATCATTAAGCCAAAGAAGATTCAGCTGGCGTCCTAAGATTTTAATGGAATTTTCCCTGTTGGGTTATGGACTTGCTTAGGACTGTCACCTCTTCTTTCTGATTTATATTCCTTTTAAAATCAAGATATCTATCCTATTCCTATGTGTCAATCGTATCTTGGCAGCAGATCACTTTTTTGGGTTTACAGGCTCACCACTAGAGAGGATTTTGTTTCCAGATGAGTCATAACCTCAAGTCTTACCTATCCCTCATTTACATGATAATTGGAGGAGAATTTAGACTGAAAGTTGGTGCTGGAATGGGTTCAGAATTGGGGGACTGTTGGGATGGGATGAATGTATTTTGAATATAAGAGAGAGACGGAATTTGGGGAGCCAGAGATCAGAGTGTTAGGGACACACTCCAAAAATTCATATGTTGAAAATCCTAACCTCCAGTATCTCCAAATATATTTGGTGATGGGATTTTTCTTAAAGACTAAGTGAGGGGCTGGTATAGTGTCTTAATGAGTAGAGCTGCCACTTGTGATGCCAACATCCCACATGGGCACCAGTTCGTCCTCCGGGTGCTCCACTTCCAATCCAGCTCCCTGCTAATGACCTGAGAAAGGCGGTGGAAGATGGCCCAAGTTGTTTGGGCCCTTGAACTCACATGGGAGACCCAGACAAAGTTGGGAGACCTGGCTTTGGCCTGGCCCAGCCCTGGCTTTTGTGGCAACTTGGGGAGTAAACCAGTGGATAGGAGATCTGTGTGTGTGTGTGTATGTGTGTGTGTCCCCTTCTTGCTCTGTAACTCTGAATTTCAAATAAATAAATAAAACTAAGTGAGTTAAATGAAGTCATTAGGATAGGCCCTAATACAATATGATGATAGCTCTATAAAAGGAAATGTGGACAAAGGCAGGTATAGAGAAAAAGCCATATAAAGATATAGGGAAAAGACGATCACCTGTAAGCCAAGGAAAGGGCCTCAGAAAAAACCAGGCAGCTAACATCCAGCCTTCAGGGTAAGAAAAAAAAATCTCGCTCATTAGGCTAATCCTCCGCCTTGCGGCGCCAGCACACCGGGTTCTAGTCCCGGTCGGGGCGCCAGATTTTCTCCCAGTTGCCCCTCTTCCAGGCCAGCTCTCTGCTGTGGCCAGGGAGTGCAGTGGAGGATGGCCCAAGTGCTTGGGCCCTGCACCCCATGGGAGACCAGGAGAAGCACCTGGCTCCTGCCATCGGATCAGCGCGGTGCGCCGGCCACAGCGTGCCGGCCGCAGCAGCCATTGGAGGGTGAACCAATGGCAAAGGAAGACCTTTCTCTCTGTCTCTCTCACTGTCCACTCTGCCTGTCAAAAAAAAAAAATCTCTGTTGTTTACACCACCCAGTATGTTGCACTTTTTATGCCATCTGTAGCAAAACTGAGTTTGTAAGAGAAATTTCAGGAGAAAACACACAAGGAGTTGAGTATCTGCTTCTAGAATCCAACAGTTCTAAGTATACGGTGGGATTTAAGTTACTGTGTTTTTCCCTAATTCCCCAAATGTCCTTTAAGTTATGCTCCCAGATACCCCTTATTAAATCCTTGGAACAAATGCAGTGAGAAACTAAACACATTGCGGCAGGCAGATACTCACATATCAGGGGGAACAGCCGAATCATTTTCCCATAGCCAGTGCTTATCAGCTGCCTTACGGTAGATGCCGATCCAAAAGAAAGATTTCAAAGAGAAGAAATGCTGGTTGTAACCAACCACATGCAAATATAAAATTCTCGTTATTTTAATCAACTGCACAGAAACCCCTTACTCAGTTCCACATGTCTTATGTACCGTTGTGACACCCAGTAACAACTTACCATCTCTTCACTGTTCATCCTCATGAGACTGGCATTGAGAGATGAGCAGGCACGTTGACTCTCTCTCCAACTTAACTCTTCCTTGGAGAAGTAGTAGCAACTGAATTTGAACCATACCCAATTCTTTGGACAAGGGTGATAAAGAGGTCCTGGACAAAGATTTTCTAACATGGCACAGAAAAGATTCACAAAGTCTAATTTTCCTTATTACTTGTTACAACACACCTTGCAAACAGATGTACATGTTATGACCTATAGCAACACTATATAAAGACAAGAAAAAAGAGTTATAATAAAATGAGTTAGAAATGCATAGTTTTTGCCTTTATTTTTCTCTCAACATGATGCTACTTTTTAGAATCCTTCATACATCATGCAACATTAGATTTCTGAGGTCTATTTATCTATGGAGTAGCTGAATCATTAGTTTTCCTACTTCCAATTAGGGATTGGAATGTCTTTCCCATGCATCACTACTAAATTAATTTGGGTTGAAATTCTGCTCTGCCAATATAAACTCTACATCTCCAAAGTTTGTTCTCACTTGACTTGATTGAATTCCTGTATAAACCTTTGGGATCTTACAAGAATTTCTACAAAGAATTCACCTCTCTGTGCGTCTGATTATACTTGCCATATGTATATGACATGAATCTAATATGAATGTAGATTGTTTACTGTCTGGGCCCATGATTCATACTTCCTTTAACCCATTCTAAAGCACCTTGCCTAGAAAGGCTCCATGTTTGTGGAACTGATACAAATTATAAATGTTTTTCTGTGTAGTTCAGTAGAAGTTAAGCTATAAACATCATCGCATACCTTTTTGTGGGGTTGCAAGAGACGTTCTTTTGGAAGATGCTGCGAAATAATCAATATTGCAATTAGACCTTCCTTTAAATTGGCACATCAAAATGAAACATTAAAGGCTATCTCTGGGGCAGAGAGAGGGCTGAGGAAGTGTTGACTAATGGGTACTAGGTTATAAGCAGATAGAAGTAAGAAGTTTGGGGGTTTTATTCACAGAGTGTAACCACAGATAGTGTTAATGTTTAATATATTTTTCTATTGACAAATAAACAAACTTGAAGATAGGATTTTGGATGTTAAATGTTTGAAGAGATAAATGTATTTATCCTGATTAGTCATTACACAATGCATATATGTACTGAAATGACATATAGCACCCCATAAATATGTACAAATTTTGTATGTCTGTTAAAATTTTTAACCAGAAATTGTAAAAGACAATGGTCTCCAAAACATCAGTAGTGAAGAAAAAATTTAAAGGAATAATTTGGATGAGGTAGATTATTGTGAGACTTGTGTCTGTTTATCATGGTCTATGAAAGAAGTACCTCTCCAAGGGGAAGACAGCTGGAAGACTCTTCTGTTACTCACAGTTTGCAGTAAAAACAGCCACTGTGATGGTTGTGGCCATCAGGACAAGGCTCAGGACACCGAGCACCACAGATATGAGCCTCCACGGAAAAGGGGAGAAATATCCTGAGAGAGCATTGAGTGGTTAGAGCAAGATGGCAGGATGAATAAACATAATTTTTATAGAACATTTTACAGTTAAAAATCCATTCAAACACAAGGAAGGGTCAGAGGACATCAGCAGAAAATTGGATAATGGGTACCAAATTAGAGTCATATGAAAGGATTGACTCCCTGGTATTACAAAACACAGTGGGGTGACTATAGTTCATGATTTTCTGAGCAAATAAGCCCACTGTGAAAAAATTCAGTTGGACTGAGCATCCTCACCTCCATCCTAGCACCCAGGTCCACAACTATGAGCAAATATTAGGAGCACCTACAATCACGTGGTCTCTGCCACGTCACCATCAGAAACCCAAACTCCAGCCACACTGTGAGACCAGGAGTGGGAGCTTAGGACCATACCTCAGAGTGCAGAGCCCAGCCAACTACACTGAGACCCATCTGATAAAGCTCACAGGCCTCTAGCCCCATCACTGAGCACAGAATGAGCCTCAAGACTTGCCCAACACCAGGTGGACTGACACGTTTTGATATGATGCATCACCACTGGCTTCTGCTGGGCTTGGCAGACACCTCTGGGACTTTGCTGGGCTCTGTGACTGTGGGACACAGTTGTGAGCAGCCTGGGGCCAGTCCAGGTAGCCAGACTTTATCACTGTCCTCCAACGTTGGGTGGACAGCAAGCTACCATGGGGCTGTCTTGGGACTCAGTGCTGGGTTGGTAAATCCCAATGCTGGGAAGATCAGAACGATTTCTGTCCCAAGGCAAAGCCCTGTGGGCAGAGTCTCTGAACTTGTCCCAGTATCAGGCAGAAATCTGCACCTTGGTAAGACAGACTTGCTTTGGTGTGTATCACCACCAGCCTCTTGCAGGCCTGGTGTGCGCCCCCAAGACTTCACAGAGCCTGATGACTGGGAGACCCACGTGTGTCCCCCTAGGGCCTGCTTGAGTAACTGAGGGACTGCCTCTATCAAACAACAACCACTACCTTTGTTTCTATTGCCACTGAATAATTTCGTTTGATTTAAACGTTATATGCATGAAATAATACATTATGTTTAAAAGTTCAATGTAGGGGCCAGCGTCGTGGCTCACTTGGCTAATCCTCCGCCAGCACCCTGGGTTCTAGTCCCGGTTGGGGCACCGGATTCTGTCCCGGTTGCCCCTCTTCCAGTCCAGCTCTCTACTGTGGCCTGGGAGTGCAGTGGAGGATGGCCCAAGTCCTTGTGCCCTGCACCCGCATGGGAGACCAGGAGGAAGTACCCAGCTCCTGGCTTTGGATTGGTGCAGTGCTGGCCATAGCAGCCATTAGGGGAGTGAACCAACAGAAGGAAGACCTTTCTCTCTGTCTCTCTCTCACTGTCTATAACTCTGTCTGTCTCTCTCTCTCTCTCACTGTCTAACTCTGCCTGGCAAAAAAAAAAAAAAGTTTATTGTATGAAATACCAAGATACAAAAAATATAAAACTATACATCCTGAAACACATATATGTATATTACAAAAAGCAGTATTGAGTGACTTTTAAAATGTATACTGTATTTTAACATTTTCTCTAATAAGCATGTATTTATTTAGCCAACAAATCAGCTATAACTTATAGTATTTTTCCTTAAAAGTGATATACTAAATTAGGATTCTATTAACAGCTTAAAATAAACTTGTAGAAGTGAATGTTTTGCCTAGTGGTTAAGTTATCTGTGTCCCACATTGGAGTTTCTGAGTTTGGTAGCCAGCTCTGGCTCTTGACTCCAGCTCTCTGCTAATGCAGACTGTGGGAGGCAGCAGTGTGGCTCAAGTCCTCAGGTTCCCACCGCCCGCAGGAGACTTGAGTTGAGTTCCTGGCTCCTGGTTTTGGCACTAGCCCAGTCCTGGCACTTGCCTTGCAGGCATTTTTGGGAATGAACCAGCTGGTAGATACTCTATCTCTATTTCTGTCTCTCTGTCTTTAGAATAAATTTTAAAATATTTTTAAATACTTAGAGATTTATGCCTACATTTGTGCAAACAAGGAAAACCCTCCCCACCACCACTACCACCTAAACCTCAACAACCCATTTTTGTCAACAGTCTATGAAACTGGCCTGCGCTGTTTCAGAACAGCCAACCTCCATCGAGGTCTTCATATCTTTTTAGGCCATCAGGTCTGGAAAAGACAAGCCTGCAGCAATCAGACTCCAAGTTCTAGAAACAAGCTATGACCTGCAACTTTATGTTAACTGCATTCAACCTCACTCTACCTATGGTTTAATTTTCGTTTTGTTGAGAGCTAGCTTATTTTTAGTTCCAAACTTGAAATAAATATATTTACATTGTGTTTGTTTCAGAAAATAATAATGTAGGTCCTTTGCCCTCTCTCAGGGCAGGGTTAAGAGACACTCAGAATATTCTAGCATTTGCCATATGGCCATAGGCTTTCCTGCAATACAGCAGCTAACAAAGCTGGACGGGAAATACAATTGTTTGCCTTTACACCAAGAAAGTTGGGAAGGCACCATGCAGACTTTGAGGGGTCTGTGCTGGGAGACCTAAAGCTCGTATGAGATTGTCTGAAATGAAAAAACACGTCAGCAGGGCCTGTGGGGGGTCCATGCGTGCTTATTTCTTCTTTGACAGGATCAAGCGTGCTTTCCTTATCACAGAACAGAAACTCATTGTGAAAGTGTTGAAGACACAAACACATAGTAAGACAGCTAAATTAAAAAATACAGCTTTCTGAATAAGCAGTAATAACAATGTTGAAGACTGGTGTCAGGGCCATACCACTCTCACCCGGAATCATCAGTCCAAGCCCATGTTTGCCTCCCACTCAGCGACATCCTCAGGGCTCCAGAATCATTTATGAAGCCCACCCCTCAGAAGCAGCTGTACCCAGTAATTTTCCCACAACCTGATGACATTCGTAACCAGGGAGTTACTTTCCCACCCTTTCACCACTCATCTTATTCTTCCTCTAAAGAGTCATTTATTTGAAAGGCAAAGCAACAGAGAAAAAGGGAGAGAGAGATCTACCATCCACTGGTTCACTCCCCAAACGGCCACAACAGCCAGGTCTGGTCCAGGCTGAAGTCAGGAGCCAGCAACTCCATCCCGGGCTCCCACGTGCTGTATTTTCCCATCTCCCAGTTTATAGATTTTGAACATTCTCTACATGTTTACTGCATAGATTATGTTACCTTCACCAGTGATATCTTCCGCTGCTGTGGTTCTGAACTTTGTAAAACGTGTGTGCTGTGTTGGCTCCCCCTTGGTTAATGGCACTTGGTTTGAATTAAATTTATTCTTAAGGTTGCTTTTTGTTGTGTGCTTCTGCTTCTGGTTTTGTGTAGCACAAATTATGGACTCCTCATTCATCCTTATAAAGAAAAAAATCTGTGGGGGATAGAGTGGGAGTATCAGCATATCATTCTACAATTTTGGAAGGTATATAATTAGAAGGAGAGGGGAAAGTCTGCATTGGAAAGTCTTTAAGCCCATTTCTTTCTCTGGGTACATATTCACTAAGAAGCCCCAAATATGTGAAAACATACCACCAAACACTTGAAAGCAAAAGAAATAAAATAACCCTAAAAGAGTTGGGACCTTTTAGCCAATTCTTATAAGTTGTTATCACTTTAATATGGATGGAAAATATCAATTATAGATCTTCAATAATTAATCTCTAAAATTTCTAAGCCTATCCCCTCTAGCATCATGATAGCTTGCATCTTGAAATCAAGTCATAGTACGCAGCTAATTCTCGGCTATAATCAATTGAGCTCCCAGGAAGCTTTGCACAATTTGTGATTGAAGCATGGGACTAGCATTTGCCCTTCACAGTTTCCCTAAGTGACCCCATAATTAAAACATGGCTAATGGATAGGGATCCTTTATACTATCTTAAGATTTCAGTAAAAATTACCCATCATTTATGTGCAGTTTTTTGACTTATTCACCTATTTCTATTTTCTATAAATCTTCATTATTAAAAATAGCCAAAATGAACAGAATACCAAAATATCTAAAATTAAACATTTGAAGAATGTTTTCTTGTAAATATTTCATAATAGAACTGGCAAAGTCACTTATTTGTCAGATTGATGAATACCTAATTAAATTTTCCAGAGAAATTTTACTAAGAAATTTCACTAGACATGCACAAAAGACAATGAAAAAAGAGCTAAATAAAGCAAAACTTTGATATCTTGAAGTCAGGAAAAATTAATGTTTTTGTTATTTTTAAATGTCCAAAAAGAGAGATAGCCCAAAATAAAGGACGGTCTATTGATTACACCTTTTGTTTATCATTGTTTCTCTCTCTTTTTTTCGACAGGCAGAGTGGACAGTGAGAGAGAGAGACAGAGAGAAAGGTCTTCCTTTGCCGTTGGTTCACCCTCCAATGGCCGCCGCGGCCGGTGCGCTGCGGCAGGCGCACCGCGCTGATCCGATGGCAGGAGCCAGGTGCTTCTCCTGGTCTCCCATGGGGTGCAGGGCCCAAGCACTTGGGCCATCCTCCACTGCACTCCCTGGCCACAGCAGAGAGCTGGCCTGGAAGAGGGGCAACCGGGACAGAATCCGGCGCCTCGACCGGAACTAGAACCCGGTGTGCTGGCGCCGCAAGGCGGAGGATTAGCCTAGTAAGCCGTGGCGCCGGCCTGATTACAACTTTCAAGAGTTGGGGAAGGAGGATTTCAAAAGAACAAGAAATGGTGAAACATACCTGGAGGGAGGAGGAGATTCCAAAGATTTGGGCTAAAAATGCAATACGTGGGAATCTGAGGAGGCAGGACCTGGCGGGTGGGTCAGCTAGAACAGAATCAGAAAATGCAGAACCCTGCAGAAAAAGTGCTTGCTAGGTAATGCTGCATCGCCAACCAGGAGGAAATTGCTCGCTTGTTTTGTGTGTGTTTGCCTTTAGCACCCACAAGCTAGGTGAGAGCGCCGCTTGGAACTCAGGTCAGATAAGGAAAATTATCTGTGTGCGCATTATAATATAATCTTCCATCTCTTTCCTTAGTTATCCAGTCTAGTATTATGTTATATTTTAATTTTTTGCTTGTGTCAAGAATTTTTTTTCTTCCCTTTTGATTTCTTTTTTGACTCATTAATTATTCAGGAGCGTGCTATTTAATCACCACATATTGATGAATCTTCCTATTTTCTTTCTGCTATCAATATTGAAATTATGCTGGGAAAACAGGTAAAAGCCCAAATTATCTTTAAAACACTGGGACCACCTAGGGCTGATGGTGTATATGGTTACTTCAAAATTCATATTGAAGTTAGCCATATATAAGTTGCTGTTTGCCTTAATAAAATCACTTCTGTGAATTATAAGGACAAAACCCTTGGGAAGAGCTTGATGTCTAACTGGCAAGTGAAAATACAGATAGAAAATGCATTGGAAATATGCGGCCGTGCAACCGAGAAGACACAAAGAGCAGTGGGTGAATGTGCCAGCTGTGTTTTCCAAATTCAGCTGCAACCATCTTGCCCAATCCCAGGCTCTTCTGCCAGGCAGCGCTGCACATCCGCATCACTAGGTGCAGCCTGCTTCTTGGTTCACCTATCACTGAATCCTGGTATTCATTTGCCTCCTAGTCAGCACATCTTTAGGAGGAAAATACCTCCTGTGAGCTGAGTATGATTTGGCCTGCAATGCCAGCATCCCATAGCCCTCGTTTGAGTCCCAGCTGCTCCATTTCAGGTCCAGCTCCCTGCTAATACACCTGGGAAAGCAGCAGAGGAGGGCCCAAGTGCTTGTGCCCCTGCTCCCACATGTGAAATCCAGAAGAAGCTCCTGGCTCCTGGCTTCAACCTGGCCCAGCCCAGGCATTTGCAGCCACTTGGAAAGTGAACTAGCAGATGAAAGATCTGTCTCTGTGCTCTCGCGCTCTCTCTCTCTCTCTCTCTCTCTCTTTCTCTCTTTCTCTGTAATTCTGCCATTCAAATAAATAAATCTTTTTCTTAAAATGCCATCAAGGAACATGAGGGCAAAGACATTACTTATAACTTGACAATTTGATGTCTTCAGTAATAGGAGTATTATCCACTTCAATAAGCTATAAAGCAACAATTTGACTTAATGTGATTTTTAGGGAAACCTTTACTTCTTCTGGGGAACCAGTATGTCATTTCTGCACAATGAAGAATATGCAATTAACCAGACTTTTTTTTTTTTTTTGACAGGCAGAGTGGACAGTGAGAGAGAGAGACAGAGAGAAAGGTCTTCCTTTTGCCGTTGGTTCACCCTCCAATGGCTGCTGCGGCTGGTGCGCTGCGGCCGGCGCACTGCGCTGATCCGGGAGTGCAGTGGAGGATGGCCCAAGTCCTTGGGCCCTGCACCCCATGGGAGACCAGGAGAAATACCTGGGTCCTGCCATCGGATCAGCGCGGTGCGCCGGCCGCAGCGCGCCAGCCGCGGTGGCCATTGGAGGGTGAACCAATGGCAAAGGAAGACCTTTCTTTCTGTCTCTCTCTCTCTCACTGTCCACTCTGCCTGTCAAAAAAAAAAAAGAAGAAGAAGAAGAAGACATGTTTCAGCAGTACGTGCAACCAGAGGCTAACACACAGCTTCCTGATTTCTGCATCAGTCTTGCTGGAATTACTCAGGATCAGGTAGACAAAGCTGATAATCTCCCTCAGCTGCTAAGAAAGGTAAATTGAAGGAATTAGGAATAAAGTATAAATATGGCATATTTTCAGGGGGCTCATGGGATATGAGTAAGTTCTGCAACATTTAGGGACAACTCAACAGGCTGAAACACCCTCCTATTGCTAATAAGTGGATCAGTATTCGAAGATCACAGGGAAACTTCTACAAGGTTCCTAGAAGCCAAACCAAACTGACAATAATGCTTGAAAAGTTAGGAATGGATTATGATGGGAGGCCTCACAGTGGTCGTGATGACTCTCAGAACATCGCCCTAATAACAGGTCCAATGTTTCAGGATGGATGTGGACTGAATCAATGAGAAAATGCACGCAGGACAGCTAATGAGTGTGTCCTCCTCCTTACCTGTAGAGGGCGCTCCAGCTCCACAGATGCCACATTTTAGACCGTAGCTGCGTTTCTGTGTGTGGCTCACTCTCACCCGAGCTGTCCTGAATCAGTTCTACAGTGCAAACTTAAAGCACCTTAAACATTTAAAATCTTGGTGCAGTTATAGATAGCTATGGCCGTATGCATATGTGAAAAACTCTTGTGAGAGGGCGTATTGAGCCATCACCAGTACTTTTAGGATGACCAGTATTTGTTACACAGTAACAGTTTCTGCTTTGAACTGAATTTTACAATTTAAGATGTTCAAGGTGTGTTCCTTTCGCCACATGTTATTGGCTCATCCCTTGAATGTCAGATTCTTATTGATGTAAAAATACAGAACATATTTCTACATTAGCATCATTAAATTAAACAACTCTTTAAAATGCACAAAAGATTGGAAGGTAGGTCTTATCTGATCTTTGGATTTTGAGAATATCATAGTCCTTTTTTGATTTTATATGAGAAGTTCAACGACAGCTGCCCCTCAATATCCCTGAGAGACTGGCTCCAGGACCTCTTGTGGATACTAAAACCTGAGGATGCTCAAGTCCTTGTAGACATGGCATAATATTTGCGTATGAGCACAGCCTATACAGTCTTCCTGTATACTTTAAATCATCTCTAGATTACTTACAATACCTAAAACAGTGAAGTGCTGTGTAAATAATTGCTATCCTGTATTGTTTATGGAATAGTGGCAAGAAAAAAAAAATCCACACACGTACAACCTTGATGGGCCTGACTGCATAGCGCACAACCCAGAGGAACCAGATGTGACCTGAACAATGTTTGGATGAACATGAACAACTGTAAATGTGGTGAATTTCTTCTCCCTGTGTTTCTTTTCAACTCCTGATTGGAAGACTTGTGAGACATTAGATTTTGTTAGAGACTTAGTTGGCAATGAGGTAAATGCATAATCAGAAGAAAATGCTATTTAAAGGACTATCATAAATTCCGTAGCTCACATTCAGTAATACATAAATAAACCAGTGGGGAGTCTTTTTGCATTTGATTGCTTGGTTCTCCTACTCCTTGTGACATATCTGCCCAAATTCCTAAATCTATGAGAGTATACTATGCTTTGTAATAAAATTAAGGGGCACCACATAATTTTAAATTTGTAAATTTGCATTCAGTATTAACAGGTGAGATCAATGAAATAAAATAATGCTTTCTTAAAAAAAAAGGTAGGAAAGGAACAGTTGTCACCACTATTTGAACAATTCTGTTGCTGGTCTAATATGCAGAAGCTATTTTGACCTGCATGTAAGTTTCTTTAAAATACTGAAATAAATAAGAGTTGGTATCGTGGCATAAACCATCACCTGCAAAACTGGCATCCATGTGGATGCCAATTTGTGTCTCAGTTGCTCCACTTCCCATCCAGCTCCCTGCTAATGGCCTGGGAAAAGCAGTGGAAGATGACCCAAGTGTCTAGGACCCTGCCACCCATGTGGGTGACCCTGATGAAGCTCCTGGCTCCTGGCTTTGGCCTGGCCCAGCCCTGGTTGTTGAGACCATCTGGAGAATGAAAAATATCTCTCTGCTGTGTAGTATTTCATAGAGTGGAAAATAGAAATAGAAAACATCTCTCTCTCTCTCTCTATCACTTTCACTCTCACTCTCGCTCTCGCTCTCTCACTCTGTTTCTCTTCTCTCTGTAAATCTGACTTTCAAGTAAAATTTTAAAAAAAAATCTTTTTAAAAAATAAAATAAATAGGGGCCGGCGCCGTGACGCAGTAAGTTAATCCTCCGCCTGTGGCACTAGCATCCCATATGGGCACTGGTTCTAGTTCCGGCTGCTCCTCTTCCAATCCAGCTCTCTGCTATGGCCTGGGAAAACAGTAGAAGATGGCTCATTCCTTGGGTCCTTGCATGCACATGGGAGACCAGAGGAAGCTCCTGGCTTCGGATCGGCCCAGTTCCAGCTGTTGTGGGCATTTGGGGAGTGAACCAATGGACGGAAGACCTCCCTCTCTGTCTCTCCTTCTCACTGTCTGTAACTCTAACTCTCAATAAATAAATAAAATATTTTTAAAAATAAAAATAAAAAATAAAATAAGCAAGTAAATCTATTGATTAGAAGCATTTTATTTTGATTAAAATTTATACTCATGTAGTATGCATTGTGGTACAGCTGGTGAGGCTGCCATTTGTAATGCCTCACCCCATATAGGAGTGCCTGGATCCAGACCCACCTCCTTCTCTGCTGCCAATCCAGCATCCAGCTAATGCCCCTGAGGGGCAGCAATGATGGTTTCACCTCACCCGTTAGAATGGCTTTCATACAGAAATCAACAAACAAATGCCTGCAAGGATGTGGGGGAAAAGTTACCCTAGTCCACTGTTGGTGGGATTGTAGACTGGTAAAGCCACTTTGGAGGACAGTATGGAGATACCTCAGAAATCTAAATATAGACCTACCATTTGACCCAGCCATCCCATTCCTGGGAATTTACCCAAGGGAAATGAAATCAGCAAATAAGAGAGTTATCTGTACCCCCATGTTTATTGCAGCTCAATTCACAATAGCTAAGACATGGAATCAACCTAAATGCCTGTCAACTGAAGACTGGATAAGGAAATTATGGGCTATGTACTCTATGAAATACTACACAGCAGTAAAAAAATGAAATCCAGTAATTTGCAACAAAATTGATGAATCTGGAAAACATCATACTTAATGAAATAAGCCAATCCCAAAGGGACAAATACCATATTTCCCCCCAATCTGTTAAGAACTAATAAAGTACCTTAAAAAAAATCTGTAAAAGTGAAATTGACACTTTGAGAAGCAAGATTTGAATAGCCCTTGTCTCAACTGTCAAGGAACAGGTTTTTTTTCTTCACATTATTTGTTGAACTCTTTACTTAACATAGAATTAACCAAATGTGTATAAAGTGAAATTGGTCTCAGTAAAAAATAAGAGTAGGCATAAGAGACTAAGAGACAGAGGAGGAAGTTTTTAACTCTAAAACTGTATAGTTCTGCACACATTCCTAAGGACTTACTTTTAAAGGTACAGTTTAAAAACTTGCCATGGGACCCCAAATCCCATTAGGCTGGGTAGTAAAAATGTCA